ACTACAGAAGCACAAAATAGTTCCTTCTTCATGAAACAAGACTAAAGCATTCTTGATTAATATATTTGATAAGCTGAGATGTTTGGGATAGAAGACTTTGTTGATGTTGAAGAAATTACTACCGTCTGTTTACTGAAGGCAAGTTGACACTTCTGACATCTCCATAACAGGCTATAATGGGAACTCATGTGAAGAGGCATTTTGAGAACAGGAGGAAGAATGGTTTCCTGACTGCAGAGATGGGAAGCAAGTTCTGGCAATATGAGTTTTATTCTTGGCTTTACTGCTGATTTACTTGAGAAAAAGCTTGAAATCTTTTGACAACCTATTGTCATCAGTCTGTGCCTCTGTTTGTCCTGTCTACAAGGTGAGAAAAATGAAATAAAGCTGTTTCCTTTGTAAACTAAGTTGAAATTTCTGAATAAAAAGTGATTTTAAAAAAGTTAGTTTTCAAGAAAGGAGGTCATCCTTACAAAGGCAGGAATTTTCATACTTTTTCATGTTCATTCAGAAACAGTTCTCCTGGCTTCTATTGTTGCATTTGTGATCTTAGAATACATTTTCCCTTAAACTCTTGTTTAACTAAGTTCCTCACTGGTATTGACTGATAAAATAACATTGGCAATTATAGCAGCTTATGTTTGCTTAGAAGCTTCATCAAAAGTGAAATTGAAGTAACTTAAATGGGATCATGCTGATTAATCACCTGAGAATCTGACTTTGTTTACAACATATTGTGATTCTTTATTCTCCTTTAGTTATACTATAAACATGTCAGATGCAAGGACTAGAAGAGCTCTGTCTTACTCTCAGAACAATTTTTGTCTATTGCTTGGATTGTAAACAGGGCCTCTTTCTGAGACTGTTTTGGACTACTGGTGAACAAAGAGATCTCTCATCCTATATTGAATTCTCACGTTTGATTGCTGGCAAAATAAATTTCCTAAACCTAATGTGTGAGCTAGGAAAAGTTTAAAATTAACTACTGCATTGTAGCTGTACACGTAATAGTGATTACACAGCCAGCAATTTCATTTTCCTTACAGTACCAGTAGAAGTATAACAAATGGAGTAAGTAATTATTTATAAACAGAAAGATTTTATTGGATGTTTTTTAAAACACAATCTTTGGTACTAGCATATTTATATAACAGCTCATACCCAGAGGGACTTTTTGTAAAACAATTGTAAAATAAAGAAAATATCACCAGCTTACCTTCACTGTATAGAATAGGATTAGAAATAAAATTTCAGGCTCTTCCTCACCCTTACTTCTTTCTGTTTCTGGTAGAAACTCACAGTAACAGTCCCTGCCATCTGCTACTATACATTTTTCCTGAGTTTTAACATTTTGTTTTTAGAACCTGAAAGATTAGTAAAATGTCAAGTTACCAAGAAAATAATCATAGGCATGACAACTCAAATGTTATCTCAGCTTATCTGTACAAAAGATGGTTCACAGTAGGGCTGTGCCCTCCTTCTGCGGATGGAGCAGGTGAGCAGATATGCAGTTGGTTATCAGTTGATACATTTTCAAACAGCGGTGTTAGATTTAGCAGAACATCTCCTGTTGATTTTAATGGAAATAACATGACCAAAAAAAAAAAAACCAGTGAGATCACTTTTGAAGTTCATTCTGTAGAAAGTGAAATCCAGATCTCCTTTAGAGGTTTGTGTAATTTGTGATGGAAGGAGATCAGTGAGGAGTGGAAGCAGAGCTTTCCTACTGTGACTGATGACCCCCAGGCAGTCAATAGGAGAAGGTGCTAGTTACACCAGTAATACCAACTCCCAGTGAAGAACTAACTAAGCGCTGAATTATATTATTATGGAAACATCATGACTTTTTCCTATCCTGCTCCTAGCCGCTGATTGAGAACCTGGAGTCATGGCTGTCCTATCAGCCACGGTGGCTACAGCATACCCAGAACTGCAGCAGCAAACTCCTTCTGAACAGCCTTTCTTGAGCATTTCTAGTCTCTCTCTTTCTTTTCTGTTGTTCCATTGTCTGGAGATTAGACTGGGACTCAGAAGCTGAGAAGTTGTTAGAAAGGTAAGGGATAAGGCCTTCAGCTCAAAAATTGTTCCCAGTGCTTCATAGTTGAAAGGCTGATTCTCCATGGCAGTAAATGCAATATAAAGAATTTATTTTTAAATGAAACCTTGCTAGAGGCTGCACAGGGTAGTCCTCTACAGAGTTTTCTGTGAGGGGCAGATAGCTTTAAGGAAATACATTTGTTATTAAAATTTTAGAAATACTCATCAGTCAGAATTGCTCATTTGGGACTGTGCTTTATCCCAAAGCCTGTGTGACTAAACTTTTATCACCGTGAATGTAATGTTGTTGTTTTTGTTTTTTTTTTTCCCTAAAATCCTTGAAAGTCATACGGTTCAGGAAGATCTGAAGATCTGCCTGCCTGCTGGGCTGCTGAGGAGCCTACTTCCCTGGTGTGCAGACACCTTCAGAATAATATTTTGGAAGTTTCTAAATGTCTGTTATGTTCTTCCATTGGGGCCTGTTGAACTCAATTCAGAGGAAAAGAGTTTTGTAGCCCATTCATGTCATCTTGCTGTCAAACTGTACTCAGAATTTCACGTTCAAAGTTGCATACTGTTAACATAAGAAGCATGTAGCTGTACGGTATACCTCCCATGTTTTTAACTGCATGTCTCCTTCAGAAGGTAAAATTTTCATGGAATCGGTTCTTGGCAGCTCAAGGATGGCTTTAATAATATCTTCTGTAGATTTGCTACCTTTTGTTAGAAGGAGGAGTCTCCCCAGTGATCTTTGCCGTCAGCCTGTGCAAAAGCCTTTGTTACAGTGTTGGAAGATTTCTCTTGTTCCACTTCAGAAGTCTTGAGCTGGTTTTCAATTATCTCTATTCTGTGCTCCATTTTACTCATTCCTTTAGCAAGGCCGTTGTTTGCAGAATATTTTTCAGGCATTCCTTTGTGGTGAAAAATGATCTTTGCTGCACAGCTGCTGTTCCTTGGAGCCTCCCTCACTACTCCTGCTGGAGCTGGACAGTGAGGACATGGGAGAGGCAAACTGATGGGAGAGCAATGTGATGCCCTTCCTGACCTGAGCAGATCTCTAGAAGTGGGAGGCAGAAATGTGGTAGCTCTTTCAGAGATTCAGTTTTGTGATGGATGTAGATTTAATGAATATGCTTACTCATAGTGCTCTGTTCTGCTGAAATAAAAAAAAAAAAAAAAAGCTAGGCAAGCACTAACGATGACTCAGAATTGATAGCACTCATTCTGTCAGCCATGTCAGCAAGATTCAGTTCTGTAGCCCCTCAGGATGAGGACAAAAAGGACTTTCTCCTCTTGCTACTAACTGGCTTCCTCAGACACCTGCTTCCCAGAACCAGGCAGAGCATTATCTGCTTGCTGAGGCCTCAGGCCATGGCCTCACCCTGTGCCTTTCCCAGCCGTGCTGCTGCTATGGAGCTGATGGGCTGTTTGATCAGTGATGAATGGGGTTGTAAGAGGACTGGAGAGTGCCTGCATTTGCGCTCCTGCTGTCTCCCAGTGGGGGTAGGTGGAAAGGCTCAGCACTGCAGAGGGAGAGCAGAGCAGAAACAGGGATACATGCTGTGGTCATTTTGTTGATGGGGATGACTGTTTCTTCCTTCAGGCTGCTTTTAATTTGGGTGCAGGAGAGTTCCTGTTCATGTCATCTTTTCCTAGGTTTTATCACTGTAGTGTTGTAGGTAGGATAGTTCAAGGAAACAAGCTTGATATACCTACTCAACCTTTGTACCTTTTAAAATATTCCATTATTTTGATGTTTTTTGTGATTTTTAAACTCTTAGCATTTCACAACATGCTCAGAGGTTCTTAATTTTGACAGTGGTATTATTATTAATAACTTTATTACTACAGTGGTAGTACAGTGCTGCCTTTGAAAACTCGTTGCTGATCTTTGACATAAAAATTTCCCTTTCTTTCCAAGGCATTACTACTTAGCAGTCGGCACAAGTACCTGTTCCTGTGTGTGTGTGCTGTCGTGGTCCTGCAGCTGTGCTGTGTGCACTCAAATCCTGAAAACTCTTGAGTGCTCTTTAAAAAGCAGCTATCAAATGCTCACCTGAAAGTAGGCAAAGGAATGTGCATTCTGAGTGTCGTTCCAGAGGAGGCTGTTTATTCTTCAGTTTTGTTGTTACTTTCTAGATATTTGTTGTTGTTTTGTGTGATTTTTGTTTTATATCGGGGAGCTGGGTTTTGTTACATTTGGAGAACTGAAATAGTGAACAACAGAAGAGTAGAAGAATTTGGGGAGATAACTCCTTGAAGTAATCTTTAAATCTTGGGAGTGACAAATCAAGAAGAGCATATTGAAATCAAACGCTGAAGCTGTATCTGATGAGTAACAGCTTTTCCCTTTCCTTTTACATGCTGTTTTTTGTTTGTACTAATTTAGTGAAAGTACATTTATGCTGACAGACAGTATCATAACTGTCTGAGAAGTGAGTCAGAATTTGAGGATAGGATTAAGTTCTTTGTTGTGGAATAAGTTTAATTTAGCTTCTTTCTGTCTTTCTGGATTTTTTTTGTGAATGTGAATAAAATGCAGTGTTTACTTGACTTGATCTAGAGAAACATAACTCTAATAAATGCTGTTCACCCGAGCAATTAGAGCAGTGGTCTGGGACACAAGAGATTGGAATTTTGGTCCTGGCTGTGATAACTCAGATTGATTTATCAGGGAAAGTTTTTTTATGCCTTTGTTTCCCAATCTAATTATCCAGAGCAGTATTTAGTAGATAGTCATGTTTATGAGAGAAATGATGCAGTTTGCATGCTGTCTTTAATCTTTTAATGATAATTAAAATATATCATTGTAATCTATAAAGAGCTACTTTTACATAGAGAAAAAAAGAAAAAAAAAAGGAAAGATGTATGCCTTTAAAACTATTTAAAACTATTTATATTGTTATATTTAATTTCTGTACCAAGTGTAGTTTTCTACAGTTACATGTTGGTTTATTTTTCAGGCTTTGCTTGACACTCAGAATCTTTTGAGAACTCAGATTACAAATTTTACTTTCAATCTGGGATTTTCAGGGAAATTTTATCACACAGGTAAGAATGGAAAACTAAATTTACTTTCATTTTGGTGGTGTTCTTTGTACTATGATGTTCTTTCTTCCATTTTTCTTTGGGACATAATTTGTGTGATATATAAAATAAATATTTTTCTTCTAAAGTTGCTATTCTGGATTAACCCTTTGTTTGAGCTGTAGTCTCTGTGAAACTAATCATGTAGATAGAGTCTATAAAGACTAAAGACTAAAAAGACTACAAAGACTAAAGAGGAATGTTCCTTTTCCTCCCACCAGCCAGGACAAGCCTGGACACAGGACCGAGAGAACTTAAAGCCAGTCCAGTCTGGGATGACAGTTTTCTGTAGGATTTATACATCTTATATGTGTGTCATTGGATAACAGTGAAATCAGTCCTAAGAGTGAAATAAACTCTCTTAAAGTTTCTTCATACTTCAAAGGACAAGAAATTTCATCTAGAGAACTGCTGCAGAACCTGTCCCAGGAAGTGGAGGGAGAGGAGCACGTAGGTGAATTTAATATTTTACACAGCATCCATGCATAGAATGCATGGAGAATTTAGGTGGTACAGAAACATCTCAGGGTGAAGAATCTGAAATTTCTAGTAAAGTCTGTGCTGCAGAATAGATTGAGTTCCTCCTTGCCTTTTATGCAGTTCCTTTTGACCTGTTGTTGTGATAAATGGCTCTAATCAAATGAAATGTTCTGTTGATTTTACTGAGCAATCTGTTGATCAACCAAAGTTCATCTGTCTGGATAGTTTGACCTCTACTGTAGAGATACCATGGCAATACATTTTATCCATTAAAATAATTTTTCTTCATACTTAACTACAAAGAAGTAAAAGTTAAGGTATCAATTAGGATTTGATAGAGAACAAGCAGGTGGTTTCTACTGACAAATAGGAAAAGGCGTACTTGAAAAATAGGACAACATCAGAGCCTGAAAGAGAGTCAAAAGACAATCCAAGGTCGTGTCATGGTTCAAGGATATTAATATGAAAATAGAAAAGGTAACATAGGAAACAAAAAAAAAACAACAGGATTTATTCACAACTGGAGTTACAAAGAACTTGAGTGGGCTTGATTGCTGTGCGTGTTGAATAGAAGATGGAAGTGCATAACTCTTCTTGTGCTTAGCTGTGTACCTTGGTCACAATTACTTGCCGTGCTAAGAGCAAGTCTGTTACTTAGAGCTCAAAGCTGAACAGAAGCACTGTCCCTCCACAGATTTCTTTTGGGCTCAGCAGAGATCAGCTAGACTTGCAGTGACCTCTGCCTTCCAGGTGTAACCTGCACAATTCAAAGAGACTAACAGTACCTTAACTTCCGCACGTTAAATGCATTACTTTCTCCATCCATTCCCAGCCTTTCCTCTTCCTTTCTCATGTCTAGAATGGCCTGGCAGAAACATCCTGGCTGCTAAGCCTATCACCTGCCAGTGTCTCAGCAGGCAACGGTACTTTCAAGACTATTTGTTTTGTTTCAGTTGACAGCTCAGATACTGCATGTGGGTTTTGTTATTTTGGTTGACCGAGATCTGGCAAAGATATTGCAAGTTTGTAGTACAAACTGACCCAGTTACCAGCTGTAAGCTCAATGAGTTGAGCCTGTCTTTGTTGCAGCCCGTCTCTTGCTGAGGCTTTCTTCTTTTCTCAAAGAAACATTATTATTTTATCTTTTTTTCCCCTGAAATGGCTATTTTGCAGCCTTTAACCACTCCTGTTTCTTTTCTTGGTAGCAGGTGAACATGACATAGGGCCAGGTAGACTCATATGGAGTCAAAAAATCTAATGATCCTACAGGTATTGATACATCATTATATACGTCTGCCTCTGTTTTTCCTTCATTATTTTAGTTCCTTCTGAGGAACTAAACACTGGCAACAGCGAAGGCATGTCTGACAAGGTTCATTGGAGGAAAAAGGAGAAAGCTGATAGGGCTAGTGAGAGTAAGGCCTTACTGATGGAGAAAACAGAGGCTGAAAGAATGGAAAATAAAAGAGTATTACAAAATACTAAGAGAAGAAGGATTTGTAAACTGTGTTGATTTTTTTTGTAAGGAGTAGAAATGAATGGCGTAGAAGCAGACAGACACACAGTGAAGATTGTTAAGTTGTAGTTTTTCAAAGTTCGGCTCATACAGTCTTTATAAGGCAACCCATTAAGGAATTATTTAAATACTGCAGTCTTTGACAGGACTGGCCTATCAATAAAAGTGCACTGGGGCTAGACTAAGTATCTGGGCTCAGGGATTGGGGTGCATCTGTCCTGATCTGTCAGATCAGTAGGCTGGTATTTCTCATCCCTGAAGTGCTGTCAGAGACACTCTGCTAGGAAATTATTTAGAGCTGAGAAGCAGGCATGTTGCTGAAGGCAATGGTCATTGCTGTTGAGTTGGGGGAACAATCTCTGAAGTGCTCTTGGTCTGGGCCAGCCCCACACTCCTGTGTGCACTCTAGGAGGGAGTAGGGGGAGGACCTGTTCCCAGCACGTTGCTGGGATGCAGCTGCTTCTCTTGCTGACTGGAATTTATGAGCATCAAATTGGCCAGCTGGCTCAGGGTCAGGTCTGTCACCATCTTATTTACTGATGTAGTTGTAGCATGAGAGGTCTTGGAGAGCAATACAGCTACATGCTGCTGCCCAGACAATTCCTATTAATCAGCATAGCGATTAGAAATTGCTGCAGGGTCTGTTGCAGGGCACCGCATCATTAGGAACAGATGAGGAGAGCACCTGAAAAGGCAGATCCAAGGACCTAGAAATAACTCGGTGAGCTCCAGGCACCTTTTGGGTACCTTTGAACATGCAGGTTTCTGGGAACTTCTGAACAGGTTGTAACTGGAATGGCAAGAATTAGAAGGAGGATAAAACAATTGTGTTATGCAAAATGTTTTCAAAAGGCTGCTGTAAACATACCATAGGTAACAAAGGGAAAAGGAGTTTGATTGGAGAATAAATACCAATAAAGAGCTGCAGTTTTTTCATTTATCCTAAACTATCTTGTATGCAGTTTCTTGACTTCTGTCCCTTAGCTTCTAATGTTATTGGTAGAGCACATGAATAGGAGTACAGTACTATACATTCAAAATGCTGTGAAAAGATTACATCACCCATCTTTTACCTGGCTATGGTTACTTCAGGGAGAGGAATGTGTACTTGGAAACATTTAAAATCCTTAGTACTTTGGAAAGTCAAATTTTGTTCTGCTAATTTCCATCTTACGTCTTCATACACTTGTAAGATCATAACGTGTACTTCAATGATTTTTTTTTAATTTTTTTTTTTCCTCAGGCACTGAGGAGGAAGATGAAGGTGATGACCTGCTGTTGAGGTCTGTGGATGAGTTTTGGTGGTTTCCCCATATGTGGAGTCACATGCAGCCTCATCTCTTCCACAATGAATCATCACTGGTGGAGCAGATGATCCTCAACAAAAAATTTGCCCTAGTGAGTAATATTTTTGCTTTTTATATTGAATTTAGGTATTCAGAAGCCACTATTTCTGTTTTTTTAGGATAATCAGTGCTGGCAGGAGCTGGAGAACTCTTAGCACATCTATGAACTTGCTCTGTCCATGTTCTAAGTACCTGAGTGCACAGATTATCGACCACTCCCACCATGCCCTGACTGATGCAATTTAAGAGAAGCAGGACAGAATATGTAAAATTTGGAAACATTCTAGTGTGTTTTAGCAACGGTGCTGTGTAAACAACTAACAGATGGCTGGAAGACAAAAGCAGAGCATGGCATAATGCCTGTGCTTGAGATCTGCTGCCATAAATGCTTTTCAGCTGTTTTCAGTGGTCTCCTAGACTGGAAAACTTCAATGGAAATTTTACTATTTAGGTGTGTGTTTAGCATAGATTATAGGGTTTGAGGGCTAATAGCAGTGGGAGGCTGTTGGACTGGCTGGATGCAAAGACATGAATAAAGAAGTGTTATGTCCAAATACCTCCAAAAACACAACTTGTTTGTTGAAACATTTCTGTTCTTGCAGTAGCCTAATTTTACTTCTCCCCGCTCAAAACAGTGAGTGAAAGTGAAAGGCGTAGATATATCAAGCAATTAAAACTTGTGTTTAAAAATTTTGCTGTAAGAAATGTGTGCGCTTTCTTCCTACCAAAAACTTTATCAATCCTACTGCAATTTCGAGTATATCCACTACAAGGCAGCTTGGTTTTACTTTAAGGAAGCTTTTCGATGAAAGATAGGACTATGAAAATTTAAACACTGTGTTTTTTCTTTAACTTCTTTTCTTTTTTGTTTTCTTTTGATTCTGTGTACTTTTGAAAGGTGCACTCGAAATTAAATTAGTTCCTGTAGTTCCTGTGTGCTGGAAAAGGACTTAAGATATCTCCTGGGCTTAGCCTACATGATGTAACTATTAAAGTGTTTTACTAGAAAACACTTCATCAATTCCTATTTTCTTCTCTACTTTCTTAATTCTCTACTTTCTTAATACTTAGATATACTTTATATTAAACTTTTTCCATGTCTGAAAGTTTGTATAGTAGCCTGCTACTTGTTTCATTTGCATTAAGTATTAATAACAAAGATCAGTATTTTCCTTATTTGAAAGAGGCTGAAAATGCTGATGCCTTATCAAAATAAATGTGCATAGTGTGTGTGAAATACTTAACTTGGGAATTAATGACTGAAATCAGTGAGATACTAGTACATCAAATAGGATAGGTTTCATAATTAGAATAAAAGATATTGGCTACATATTTATTTCTGCACAATGTAAAACTTGAAAAAGAAATCTTAAAATCCAGACATTTATTTAGAACTAAATGAGGAAGATTAAATGAGACATTAGAGGATACAATTTCTTACATGTTCTGTAAAGATTGTTCTTTCTGATGTTTATGCATGCTTAAGTGAAGTAGAAAAGATTAAGATAAAAGGAAGAGAAATTGAAATACCTGTGATGAAATTAAATAGTGTAAAGCTGTGTAACAGGTTGTGTTAAACACTAAAAACCAAGGCCAGATCTTATTCTTTCTTGACGTGGTACATTATTCATACTACACTCCTGCTGCAGAGCCACAGATTACATGCACAGTGGATGTGGTATGATCACTGAAGTGGTGCCTTGGTCTTACTGAGGAGCACTGAGACCTTACCAGATGTCATGGTTTTGTAATTTTTGGTTTTCGATATTCCACATCGTAACATCATGTGGGGCACTGGGAGTTTAACTGTTAATACTCAAGTCCTGGGTACTTGCCCAGAAGAGAAGAACTACATTCCCCAGGGGACTTTGTGGTCACGGAGAGGAGATAGAACTCCTGGCAAGGTCACCTGATGCGCTCTTTCTCATCCGCTCTTCTTCATCGGCTCTCCTCCTGTCTCCCTGCTGCTCAGCTGGACTGCGCATCTCACCTCAGCTTTATGGTGAGGCCTATCCACCTTTCGGACATTCTCTCTCTCATTACATTTGATTTATTGGCTTCAGTTCTAATTGTATTGTAATATAATGTGCTATCTTGCATTCCAATAATGTATTTAGTAAATTAGTTTGTTTCTCCTCAGATCATTGCCGCTTTTTTTAATTATTTTGGGGTCCCCTGTTCCGTTTTTTCCGGAGGCGCAAATTTTGCGAAATCCCTCCGCCCCGCTGCTCACAGAACTGGGCCAAACCAACCCCTAAACCACTGACACCAGAATTCCAAAAGTTACGCCAACCTCAGGGTGATAAAATCTTATGTCCCATTTTGTGTTCCTACTGTGCCATAAATGGCCACAGGGAAATTATAATTACAACTGTATTTTAAATATTAAAATATTAGGGTTGTCCAATGAGATTAAACTAGATCTGTCTGTTAAACGCACCATTATACTGTGAGAAAATAATAGCTTTCTTCCCATGAATATTTAACATTTTTCTTCTTATTTCTCATGATCTTCTGGAACAGAAAAAAATGCTGTTCTTTGTGAATTAGCTTTGTTTTGAGCTGTTAGTAAAGCTATCATGTCTTACTTAGATACATATAATATTGAATCTTGACTATTTAAAATTAGCACAAATAATAAACATTAAGAATGCGTAGGTGCATTTTCATTTGTGCATGAAAATACACCCACCTGTGGGTACAAAAACTCGTGCTTTTCACCCTCTATGCACCTCATGGTATTTGTGACTCAAGGACGATTTACCCATTTAGGTTGAGGAACTTCTAAGGAAAAGGATATCCTGAGTAAAATTCAAGAGACTCGCTGTTCTGGAAAGCAAAGCACACATAAATAAGAGAAAAATCTCTTAGAGCATTTGGGAAGGAAGGGGTGTATCTGGATTTCAGTGTCCAACACTTACATGCAGCGCTATTGATTTCTACTATGTGACTGGAAACAGAGGATCCAGTATATGTGATTTAAAAAATATCATAGCTTCGGTGTAAAATTATTGGGCATTTTAAAGTATCTGTTTGTATCTTGTTATTTTGATAGCAGTGAAACTTGTAACATTTTTAATATATTACATCTATTGCTGTAATGTGGTCTTCTGTGTAATGAGTAATTTATACATCACTTGGTTTATGTACCAAATATTTGTGAACATGTGATAGTGGAAACAAATGAAGCTGCAGAGATTCAGTACTTCAGGTAGCACAGGAACTTTTCAATGTAGGCAGAAGAAAAATGTCTCTTTCGGGATTTCTTTCATTTCCATATTGTGGAGGGTCTGTTCAGCATCCTCATAGTGTATCATGAGCACTTCCTACAGAACGCACTTCCTGCTCAGGGTTTTCTTTCTTGTCAGAAAGGCTTCTTTCATTTAACTGACTACTAATCTCCTTTCATGTTAAATCCCTTATGTAAAAAACGGAACAATTCCCATATTTTTCAGCATTACACTTTTTAAAACGTGTACCCTGTTTTTCTTGTCTTTGCTCTCCAGTCCATCTGGTACATCAGCTTTCACACAGTAGTTCTCCACAGAAGATGAAGAAAAATTAATTTTCTTGGGTCATGAGCCCATTTTCCTTTGAGAAAAGACTTAAAAAATTTTTGTATTCCTTAGTAATTGTTTTACTCAATGAAAGGAACTCAAGTATCACCTATCTCTTATCTTTTCACATGAAGAGTAATTGGAAAATATGGTGAAGATGATGGTACAAATAATATATTAAAAAAAAAAAAAAACCTCTTAAACTATGCAGAGATTTTGTTTGCAAGGGCAGTTTTTCAAAATATTGCAACATAGCAACATTGTATGGATAAGCAGAAATATGTGCTTTTGTGCTCTTCTTTTGAAAGAAAATGGAAAAAGTGTCAAAATTCATTAGAGTATTATGGAAACCAGAAGCTGGAAAGAAAATACAGTGAATCTCACAAGAAAGTAATACTAGTACGGTCAGTTAAATGAAAGAAGTCTGCAGAAATGACAGGTTTACTACAGAGGGGGTTATTCTAGAACACTGCTTATTATCTTCAGTTTTACACATCACAGTTTTTTTTTTTCTGTATTTAAATGACACTGAAATGGTTGTTTTTTGAATATGATTTTATGCTGCTAGCAGACTAGAGGAGAAATAGGGTGATCTTTTTGAAATTCAACTAAGTAACTGTGTAGGGACATATAGTGGAAATCACTTTATTTTAAGTGCCAAATGCCATTTTGTTGTGTATGTGCCAGTAATTTTCTCTCTCAATACTTAATTTGTGAGCGAATTCCTTGTAGAACTTGAAAGAGTACAGAAGTGTTTAATGCACTGATTAAAGAAATCAGCATAAAATGTGTTTATATCCATACTTGTAAAAATACTTACTCTAATCTTAAGTTTCAAAATTCTGTTTCATCTTTACCATGCTGTTTTTCACCACTGTTATATACCAAAACATACTGTAATGTCACCATCATTTATATTTCAGACCTATTCTCAGTCTCTCGCAAAGGATTAGTCAGATGCCAAAATACTGTTTCTTAATTTTTTGAAAGCAGTTGTTCTGTTGTGTTTTAGGAACATGGTATTCCAACTGATATGGGCTATGCAGTGGCTCCTCACCATTCTGGAGTATATCCAGTGCATGTTCAACTTTATGATGCCTGGAAAAAGGTCTGGAATATCAGAGTTACTAGCACAGAAGAATACCCACATCTGAAGCCTGCGAGGTATAGACGAGGTTTCATCCACAAAAATATAATGGTGAGTTGTATTTCTGATTATATTACCACCAGTCCTAGAATCATACAATGGTTTGGGTTGGAAGGGACACTTAAGATCATCTAGTTCCAACCCCCCTACTACAAGCAAGGATACCTCCCACTAAACCGGGTTCCTCAAACCTCTTTGTAGCCTGGTTTGAACGCCTTCAGGAAGGGGACATCCACAGCTTCTCTGGGCAACCTGTTCTAATATCTCACCACCCTCAACAGTAAACAATTTCTTCCTGATATCTAGGCTAAATTTACTCTTTTCCAGTTTAAAGCCATTTCCCCTCATCTTGTTGCTACATGCCCTTATGAAAAGTCCCTTATCAGCTTTCCTGTATGTTCCTATTCAGGTACTGGAAGGCCACTGTAAGGTTCCTCCAGTACCTTCTATTCTCCAGGCTAAACAAGCCCAGTTTCCCTCAGCCTGTCCCCACAATGGAGGTGCTCCAACCCTCTGATCATCTTCCTGGCACTTCTCCTGACCCTCTCCATTGGCTTGATGTCCCTCTTGCATTGAGGGCCCCAAATCTGGACAAGGTTCTCCAAGTGGGGGTCTCACAATAGCAGAGCACAGGCAAAATCACCTCCCTCAACCTGCTGGTCACGCTTCTCTTGATGCAATCCAGGATACAGTTGGCCTTCCAGGCTGCAGGGGCACACTGCTGTCTCATATTGAGTCTTTCATCAATGGGCACCCAAAAATCCATCTCTTCAGGGCTGCTCCCACACAGCCTCTGCCAAATGTATATTTGTGCTTGGGATTGCCCTGACTCAGGTGCAAGACCTTGCACTTGCACTTACATTTTACACATTCTTTATTTCAAAGTAGAAAAAACATACCCTGGAAGTTCACATTGTAAGAAACACCTGATGTTCTGCATAAATAGCAAGTTATGTTTGACAGTATCTTGTTAATTAAAATCACTCTTTTGCTGATGATGTTACTGCTAAAGAAGGTGGTCTCCAGGAACCCTGCTGTTAACAGTTAACAAACTCTTAACTGTTCTGTTTCTTCTGTTAAATAGTGTTTCAGAGGTCTCACGAAAATAGTCAACTTTGCAAGTTTTATCAGAATGAGTTAGATTTTTAGCAGGTAATAAATTTAAACACTGTCATTAACTGCAGAAGAATTTTGCCAGTTTATTACATCTGAGAATTGGATTTTATTCATAATACTTTTTCTTTCATTTGAACTATGCACAGTTGACTTTAGTTTGCTTTTTACCATACAGAAATGTGAATTGTGCTTTGCACTGTTACTTAACCCCCAGCTAGGCTTTGGGCCCAGGCGGTCAGCCTGAATGCGGGGTAAACACCTACAAGGTGAAGGGAAGGAAGCTGCCCCCTCAGGCTATGAAACCGCACAATTGATGCAGCTACAAATCAAATCACACAAGTTTTCTGTATTACATAATTCACAGTGTAGTTTACTGACAGCAGTATTTGCCTAAAGTGTTGTGAATACCAAAATGGAAAGCATTATCCTAATGCCTTTGGGTCACTGAGAATCAAGCTATTTCTGATTCAGATAACATCATTATCTGCAGGCTGTTTCAAAACAACATTCAGAAATACTTGATGATATGTGGTTGAGTAGCTTTCTTTAGGAGCATGGAGGAAATCGGTGAACAGGAAAGATACTGGTGTGTATACCGTGCTATACCTCTGGATACAGCCACAGTTTTGGAGGGTCTGTTGCTGAGCTTCTCACTTAATTCTGATATTGTCCTCCAGTTACCGTGGATACCACTTTTCTAAGTGGAATAATAATATGTCGAAGTTTTGATGTTCTGCTCTATTTTGGGGTGGATTAAGATGAAATGATCTGCAGATATCAAGGAAGAAACTGACACCATACAGATTTGAGCTAAAGTTTATTCTCCTTAAGCATTAGTGGTGTGTGGGGAAAAAAAAAGTGTTTGTTGTTATGCTCAGAGGGCGCAGAGCGCTTGAGAACAACTGACTGACTCTGAGAATCTCCAGAAATCTCTTTCATAAATTTTTGTTAAAGCATAGCATTTGAAGATACACAGAGACATGCATTTAGCACAAAGAAAAAGGACAATGGGGCCAAACACAATTTGCTGGGAACAATTGTGTAAAATCACCTGTTTAGGAGCCTCAAACTTTCAGTTCTCCAGGGTAAACGCGCTAATAGTTTATATGTGTGGGCTTATAGTGATGAATATATACAGTAATAGTTGTTGTGTAAAACTTGCCAGAGCGTTTCCTGTCCAGTACATCTTCATTCACTGTCTCTTTGAAGAATTGTTCTCATATTTCATCAGTAAAATCCAAAGTTTTTTTAAAAAGCATATGCAATTTTAGAGCAAGAACACAAATTCCATACATTTTATGACAACATAGTATCTACAAACTATGATCACAGCATCCTGCATAATATAGAAAGATGCTGAGATATGTAGACGCAAAAGAAAGAGTATCTACAAAACTACAGTACCTGTCAAGTAAGAGATTTGCACATTTTATAAGTTTTAACTATTATATAATGAAAGTTATAAATTGGACTAAAAGATTTGATGATAGTCTCAGTTTAAGAATTATACACGATCATCGATCTTCAGCGATTGAATTTCCATAAAAAATAGATGTAATTGAAATATTCCCCAGCAAATTATTTTCTGAAGTTGAGAGAAAATATTTTGAGATTCTACTGGAAATTATAAGTGCACTTATTAGATTTGCTTGTTCAAAAGATTTGTTCTTTGCATGTCTTTAAAAATACAAGCTTTTGTTTTCTGCTACTTCTTGTTGCAACTGGTCTTGTAAAATCAGCACAGCTGAGTGAGAACAAACTATTTCTGATAACGTGAATAAAATCTATAAAACAAAGAAAGAGAAATAATAATCAGTAAGATTCATCACACCAGCATAGAATTACTATTGGTGGTATCCAAGCCAAAAAAAATGATTTCAGATTGTAGTTTAAACATATCGCAAAACTATCTTTTAAATAAAAGATGGAACTGATAAATACAAATAGATTGAATTATTTCAGATTACATTTCAAATTATTTTAGAATTTTAGAAATCTTTTGATGTTCAGACTTCAAACACGTTACTAAGACTGGAGAATAATGGAGACGGTTAGTATGAGGAAGCTGCTTAATTATGACATACCTACTGAGATCAATTTCCAGTTTCAGAGAAAACATGATGAATTTTTGGATGTTATAAATCATAATAAAACCACTGTTTCTTTCTGTAAACTCTATTTATCTGTCAGTGTATTGATTCAACTAAATCATGGTTGACTTCTGGCAACATTGCAATGCCAAAACTACAAAGTAGTTATCACAGAGGAATCTTATCTGCCTTTTATTATCTCATGAACTGTATGAATTGTTTTGGTTTGTGAATTTCTCTTGAATCTTTTGTTGCTTTTTTTTAAATTAAATTCAGGTGCTTCCTAGGCAAACTTGTGGCTTATTCACCCACACTATTTTCTATAAAGAGTATCCTGGAGGCCCAAAGGAACTAGACAAAAGTATCCAAGGTGGGGAGTTGTTCTTCACGGTGGTTCTCAATCCAGTGAGTACAATGTCATTTTGAAACTATTTAAAAAGAATTAGTTAAAGGAGAATTGAATAAGTGCTTCAAGGCTCATAGGAGCTGATACCCATATAGTAATGATTTTTCACAGAGTTTGCTCTTGTGCCTTTTCAATTAATCAGTTTAGAATATAATATTATATATGTTCTGTAAGTCATACAGAATTATCTTAACATTTTTAAATACTGTTTTGTTAGTAATGTAGTTGTAGAAACATTACTTGTTCTGTTTTACTTCTGCATGAAATTTAATTTTTAAGAGAAATGAAGTGTTAAGAACTGTTATTACTATGAGACAAGTGCCTCAGGTGAAATCCATTATCCTGCTCTTCAGAACTCACAGAATGTTGAGAACACCCATTGGTTTTTGAGAAAGTTGCAAGCAACAAGTGCTGGCACTTGAACCTATTATGAGAATGTTTAGTTGCTGTTCTACAAAAGCTTCAAGGAAAAGATCAAAATAAGCGAACCACTGAATTAATGTGTCTGCTTAACATTTCATTTTTGTTTAATAGAATAAAGAACAAACTAGGCTATGAAACTACTGAATATTGGCAGAATAGAGCAGTACAGTACTTCAAAATGGCACCAGATTAGGCCAGTTGCATTAAACCTGACCTCTTAGACAAGGTTTTATGCTAACTTTTCAGTTAAATTGAACTGAAATTTAAAAGGAATGATGACAGATGCTGTTTTGTTGCAGAATCAGATAAATAAAATTTACTGTACCTGCTTTATCCAGATTTAATCCCTAGGACTGGGTTTTCCAGAACACTCAAAGCTGAACAGAGTATATTTCCACTCAAATCCTTTGGAATAATAGCTGAGATACTTTTGTGCCTTTTTTAATTCTCTGTGATTTAATGAAACTCCGGTGGAAAAACAAACAGACAAAAAAGAGAAACTTCTGCCAACTGCTGTTTATATACAGGTCTATTTTTCAAACCTCAAACCTCAAGGCTGTTGTTTTGATTCTCTGAAAGTAGTCGCTGTGTTTTGTTCTCCTTTATTTTTCATGTTCATGTAGCAAACATAGGGAAGAAAAGCTTCACTTCCTCTGCACACATGATCTGCCTACTAGAGGATGGTAGTATGTCCCAGTCCTAAATTTTATATTTATCATGTCAGACAAGGCACATTGAGAGAGGTGAGGCCTGGAAAATTCTTAAGAGTGGAGGGTATTGGTACCATAGCAATGCTTGGGAATATGTGTACATCCTAAGTAAGAGTTTCTAACTCAACAAAGAGACTTTGACGAAACCATATTGTAGCAACACTTTGAATCAGAACAAACTGTATTCCATGTTGGAAACACAGCCACAACTTAACCAAAACCTTTTTTACAACAGCGGTGAAACAGCAAAACTTAATGTGGTTGCTTGAAGCATAACCCTTTCAAATTGAAAGAACAGAGAGTGGAGGAAAGGCAAACAGTAGAACAGCTAATGGTTATTGATATAAATCAATCACATTTTAGCATCCTGCCTTACATACTTAATGTGAGTACAGAAATGTGTTTTTAGATAGTGCTTCATGATCTCTGATTTATGCATTGCTATGTGGACTGTACAATCACATAGTTGTGAGAAATATGACATCCCCAATACAATGCAGGCTAACTAAAGGGAAGTTATTTGTTCTAAATCCATCTGTAAGTGAATATCATACCAAAATATGCTGAATAAGAATTGTTGTAATCTTTCAAAGGAATGCCTCTGAAAAGATGATGTGATGGAGTTTATATGTATGTATATATGCATTATATATATGCATATGAACAGTTTGTAAAGTTGTAAGCATTAGTCTGGCAGGTAAGAAATTTGAAGATCAGGTTTTGCATCTTTGGTTGTTTTTTGTTTTATTTGTGGGACTTGTCTTTGTACCATTTTGTATTTGTACCCCTACTCACATGTCAGGGTTTTATACACTTGTCAAATTATAAAGTGGCAGATTGAATTTCATAAGTTTCATTAAAATTGTCAGGATTGCTCTCTGAAGAAATTAACATAAACATGTAGTCTTTCAGAGGATGCAAAAATTCTATTAGAAGATGTTTTCTAAACATTTTTTGTCACTGGTGAAAAACCTATTAAGAAGGAACATTAACCAGAAATCATTACAGTGTCATCTCAAGAGTAAATAAATATTTCATTTGAAAAAATGACAAATCTGGGTGTAAATTAAATGTAAATCTTAACAAAGGCCTTCATTACATTTCCTGGTTTATTTTGGATTACTTATCTAAAGTAAATATTGTTTCTGAAGTGTAGGTTATTAGAATGTTTCTTTAGGAATTGAATACTACTCTATATTGATATAAGTACCCCTAAGAATATTACTCACATTTTCTGTGCAATCTGGTCATGTAATGGCAGCTATTCACATGACAGGCTCTGCTTCCTTATAGTACATTTGAATCGATGACAAACTGGAGAATAAGCAAAAAAAAAAAAAAAAAGCATCAAACCATATGTGAATCTATGAGCTTTTTGACACGAGAACCAGTATTGTTGTCATTTTCCCACGGCATTCTATAGCCAGAGGTCTTGTAGGTAAGACAAGCATCAGACTGCAGAGGAGAAGCTGCTCTGCAAATGACTTCTGCTGGTAATGTGGAAAATAGGAATTGGTATCTTATCCAATAAGAATTGGTAGCTAATCTTGTGGTCTACAAGCCGTATTTATTTGGTATGTATTTATGAGCCCTCACTGCTCGTTAAATTGTGATCTGGTAGTAGCTGTAAAATGGTCTCGGTGTCTGTTCCCATTGTGTTCGTAAAGCATTCAGAATGCTGAAGTGCTATGAAGCTAAAAAACAAAAAGAGCCTGAATAGTACTAAACCATGTTATCTACTTCTTAAATAATATTTAATGTTCATTTCTTCTGTTAAAAATCTTGTTGACTACAGCAGCCCTTAGACAAGATCATACAATATCAGGATCTTGCACAAAATTTTTTACATGCACATAAGAAAAAAAAGCCTTCTGCAGCCCTGTATTGTTAGTATACAGGCATTAATTGTCCTATGTTATCAATTAGATAATTGCCTGAAAGGGGAATTGTGTGACTTGCACAAATTTATCCAGGGAGATCTGTGACAAAGCTACAAGGAAAACCTGGATTGCTCTTTTAGAGGAGTGGATGCACGTAACAACACAAGGTTGGTTTTTCTTCAGCTTCCCAGTGCTTTAGTCTTACTGTAAAGATCCTGGGTGTTACTAGAGACAGCTGGCAAAGAGGTATAACTGCTTCTAAGTAGTATTGAAACTGTATTAAGAAAGTCACGAGAAGAGATGGTCCTATCAATTTAAAGGACTGAATTAAGCATATTTGCATTTAGCTTCATTTTGAAATGTTTAAACAATAGCAGGCTTCTGGCTATGCTGTGCTTAACTGCATATCCCAGAGTAAGTAAAGCTTACTGCTAGTTACGTGAAATATGGCATCCCCTTTTAAAAAAAATATTTCTTCATTAATTTATTTATTTTGCATTAGCTGTGCCAGAATCATTCCCAAATAAATCCCAACTGACTTTTGCAATACTTAAATTAGCATATTTAAATAAATGAAGAATCTTTACTGACATTAAAACATTCAGCAAACATTTTGCTTGATAAAGTTGTTAGAATTTTCAGTGACTTCAGATTCTGTCTGCAATATTCAGTGAAGTTTTAGTTAATAAAACCAATTTCCATTAGATGTCCTTTAGAATTAAAATGTACCAGACAGGAATCTGCTACAGACAGCACTGCATATTCCAGCGTTTTTTGTAATCATGTACACGTACTTCCATGGGATCAGCAATTAGAGATTAGCTATTAGAGCACCTCCTGTCAGATCAACACTTGGCAATCGCAGAATGTTCAAAGAAGTAAAGGACCACTCGCCTATACCTGCAGCAGCTGCAGGAGGCTACAGAGAAACAAATTGAACAGCTCTTGTTCTCCTAAATGCTCCATAAGAATGTTTTTCACATTAAGAACCAAAATTTGAACTACAGAGTTGAATTTGGTTGGATATTTGTTACTGCAATAGTTGATAAGACATGGATTCCATATAAATATTCGTGCTTTGCGTTGTCCTTAAGTACAGGGAAGACTTTCATAGAGGATTATATCTCAAATGTCTCTCTGCTGTCAAATGTGCAGTACTTTCCTCATACATATCTGCTGCCATCTGCTTCTGTGGACATTGTTCAACGTAAGACAGGCCAGATGCAGGGCAAGCTTACTAGTTTCATTGCTTGGTTGTTGTTTTTGTTAGGTTTGTTTTGTTGTTGTTATTGTTGTTTTTGTTTTGGTTTGGTTTTTTTTAGCTTATTGTTTTTCTAAGTGCAAAATTTCAATAATGAAAAGAAAATTTATGAAGCAGACTGACGCTATTAAATGCAGTATTTCTCATCTGCTTTCTACTAGTAGTTCATTAGATTTTATTGCTAGAATCAATTTGTTAATCTATTTGCTTTAGTTTTCAAATCCTTATATGGAAGATGTGTTTTGATTCTAGAATCCAAATAATCTGGTAAGCCCAGTTTTTCATAATGTAAGACTAACTTCCTCTATGAACATGGTCCAAGGCAGTATTTTATGCCTTTCGTTTTCCATTAAAATCAATAAGAGTTAAGCTGTACTGCTTTAAATCTGTAGAAGATGTTCATGACCTAGTCTCAGGTATGCCAGGGTATTTTTCATTTGAATGTGGAAGATAAAAATCAGAAGCTCTGCAGTCATACCAGATGGATGTTTAAGGCAAAGCACACTTCATAAAAATCTTCCATATCTTTTTTGCTTCAAAGAAAAACAAACAACACATAATTTAGTAATTCCACGGCACTTACATACACTTCCTTGCAAAGTACTGGCTGTCTACAGATCTGAAGAAAAAGGAAGATACCCTTGGAGGGAAATTTGGTGAAAGTCTTCAAATGTTTGACATCCCAATAATGAAACCAATATGTAGCCAGCTGTGCCATCTCCATA